CTTCCTTGGAACATCAGGTGTCTTCTCACCAACAGTCAAACAAAAACAAGAAGGTAGAAGTGATTGATTTGACCATTGATAGCTCATCAGATGAAGAGGAGGAGGAACCATCTGCAAAGAGAAGTTGTCCTTCCATATCTCCAGCATCACCATTAAATAACAAGGGGTGAGAATCTGCTCATGATGGAAAGATGTAATAAACTTCAAAATAAATGGTAGCTAGAAAGTTCTCTATTTGAGTTAATCCTCATTTAGCAGTTCACAGCACATGGATTTGCTCTCAGGCCACATGGTCTAAGATTGGAATCACAACTTTTGAGTTAAGTGAGTTACACAATCAAATATTTCAGTTGTACTTGTGAAAATGAGCTTAAATGATGCAAAAATACAACTTAGAAGTATGTTTTTTGCAGATCTGGCAGTGTTTTTGTTCCAGAGGGAAATACAAGTGCAGCACATAGGGAGAGAGCAAGGAGAAAGATGGGTGTGGTGTGGGGGGGGTTTGCTTGCTGCCAGCAGCATAGAATAAAGAGTGCCAGAACAACCTGGGCACACCTGAGTGGTCAGACTGGAAATAGCTCCTCCTTGACAGGAACAGTCAGGGCTGAAAACTGAGGCTAACCCAGAGGGATCCTGTTGTTGGAATGATTATTACCATAATGTGAGTGACTCAGGCAGCACTTCAGACTCCTGAAGACCTCTTTTTGCTGTCTTCAGTTGCTAATTACCTTGTAGAGTATCAATGTGGTGCTGGTACACAGATTTGTGGGGGATTTGGGGGATCAATATACCTTTAGGATTGGCTTGGCTTGGCTTAGGAGTATCTTTTAACATATTTACAGCTGAGATCATAGTACCATTTATAGTGAGATTCATCAGTTTCTGCTGCTTGAGAATGAACATTCCTTTGCTTTTAATTTTGCTAAACTTCTGGCTTGAACTGAATTTACTTTGCTGATACATGTTGTGAGAAGAAAGCTTTGGGAATGTGATTCTCATGACTTTTCCAGCCCTTCCAGGACCCATTGAGGTGCTTCAGCATTCTGAAGCCTATGAGATTTAGTAGAAGAGTTGCTGCACACATGTCATGAAGTTCATAATGCACTTTAAGAGGTTAATTTTGACTATAAGCGTCCCCTGCATGGGTCAGCAATAAAGCCAAGACTCTTTTCCACTTGTAACAAGCCTTTGTTTCTTCCAGCATTCTAAATTTACCCCACCAAGCATCTCCTGTGTCCAGAACCCCAAGCCTTCCTGCTGTTGACACCAGCTACATCAACACATCACTTATCCAAGACTACAGGCATCCATTCCATATGACACCAATGCCTTATGACTTGCAAGGTGAGCTCCTGTCTGCACCTGTAAGTACAACTCTCCAAGCAATAATAATGCTGTAAAAGAAGAGAAATTGAGGTTAATATCTCTGGTAGTGAAGTGAATTTGAAGTGTCATCAGTATTAGTCTGGTTTTACTTCAAAGTGAGTGATGGAAAAATAGGGAAGTGCTTTATTTTTCCCTGTTTTGAGAAGCTAATTCATTTTTCTTTGGCTCTTCACAGGTTTAGATTTCTTCCCTTTCCTGTCAGGAGACAATCAGGTAAGTCAAGGAAAAATCAAGTCATATGACAGATACTGTTTTCCAAGCAGGACTTGCTGGCCTGGATATGTAGGCAAGGAAGGAACAGATGTATGATGGAGGTGGAAAAGCAGGCAGGCTGCAGCTCTATTTCATACACACACAAACAGGAGCATTGTCTAAACACAGGTGTAGGATCAGGCACACCAAAAGAGAAGCATTTCAGTTGCTAAGGGTTAAGCTCAGCAGCCTAAGCTTTATTGTGGAATGACCCTTGGCTATGGCTGAAGCTCCAGCAACCACCTCCTTAGCTTGTCAGCCCCAAGATCCCAAGGGACTCGTGACAATCCTTTGCACAGTTTGGTGAGTCAGGAGCAGCTCTCTGCTTTACCTGTGCCTCTTTGTCCCATGTTTGCCCATTTCCTGTACGTCATTCCTGAAATGGGATGGATTGGTGCTTCTCCTCCAGTTTTGGGACCTGAGCAGGTCACTGATGCTCAAAAGGAATTGATGGGCAACTCCTCCTGCTTGATCACCTTTCCTCCAGGAAAAGAAGGGAGCTGAGGTGTCTCACCTGCCCTCGGTCCCTCTATATCTGTTCTGCACTCTCAAGCAGGAAAACTGCACTAAATGTAGAGGGATACTTTGGTATCTTAATTAAGAGCAGAACCTGCACTGTAGAATTTGGATTCAAGAAAACTCTCTTGATACTAAATCACAGAGAGGAGAATTATTCTACAACAAGTAGTGCTGCCCTGATAAGGCATCATTATTGGCAGTGCAGAAATGGTGGGGAACAAGGCTGAGCAGCCTGAATGTTTCACCATAATGCAAAGAAACATGGAGAGCAAAATTACCCCACAGAGAAACTGCATTTAAAAGCTATTTAAAATAGCTCAAGCTCTTGCCTTTGTGGGGTGGCAGAGAGAGAATAACCTGGGACTTTGCTCCATTCCATGGGTCTGAGCTGTCTCTAAATGCATTTTCATAAGCATCACAATGATGTTTTCCTTACCAGCAGTGATTGACACTTAGTTTCACCAGTTGTTGATCTGTGACTTTAGCAAATGGCCAAATATTTCTTTGAATTTGAGGGGATTTTTCCACCCAGAATTTTTTTTTTGTGAGGTAAAATAGTGCAAAGAAACATGGAGAGCAAAATTACACAGAGAATTTGTATTTAAAAGCTATTTAAAATAGCTCAAGCTGTTCCCTTCCAGGGGAACAGAGAGAAAATAACCTGGGACAGCCCTTGGTGCATCCCATGGTATTAAACTGTCTCTAAATACACTTTGACACAATGAAACTCACCAGCAGTGATTAGCACTTAGTTTTTAGCTCTTGTTGGTCTGTGACTTTAGAGGGATGGCAAGATAATTCTTTGAATTTGGAGAGATTTTTCCATCCAGGAATTTTTTGTGAGGTGAAATAGTGCGAAGAAACTATGGAGAGCAAAATTACCCCACAGAGAAACTGTATTTAAAATAGCTCAAGCTCTTGCCTTTGAGAGAATAACCTGGGACAGCCCTTGCTGCATCCCTTGGCATTCCACTCTCTCTAAATACACGTTCACACAATGATGTTTTCCTCACCAGCAGTGATTAGCACTTAGTTTTTAGCTCTTGTTGCTCTGTGACTTTAGGGGGATGGCAAAATATTTCTTTGAATTTGAGGGGATTTTTCCACCCTGGAATTTTTTAGTGAGCTAAAACAGTGCTGCTTTTTCCAGTTCCTTACTGCTTTTGGGTGTCTGTTCCCTTCGTAGTATTTACCTTACTAATCCTGCTACTTCCAACCTCTTCTGGCTTCAGCCACGAGGTCCAAGCCACCGCATCGCTCCCCTTGCCTCACAGCCAGGCTGAGTAGCTGAACCCCAGAATCTACCAGAGCTTTAGCTTACAAACACCTTCTTTTTTATGCTGCTCTAAATCCAAAGGACTGGTGTCTGAAATATAACCTGTTGTTTTTCCCCCCAGCATTACAACACCTCCCTCCTTGCCGCCGCAGCCGCGGCAGTTTCCGCCTCAGATGATCAAGAACTCTTACACTCTCGTTTTTTCCCCTACACTTCATCTCAGATGTTTCTCGATCAGCTCAATGCAGGAGGAAGCAGTTCTCTGCCAGCCACAAATGGTAGCAATAGTGGCAGTAACAGCAGTCTTGTTTCCTCCAACAGCCTGCGAGAGAATCATGGTCATCCCGTTGCAAGTAGGAGCAGCACGGACACGGCGTCAATCTTTGGTATCATACCAGACATTATTTCCTTGGACTGATTTGGGTTTGGACAGAGGAAAAAAAAAAAAATCTTTGTGCTTGGGTTTGACTTTATGTTTAGAAAAACATAGACAAGTTGTTTTGGTTGGTTTTTTTCCTTTTTTTTTAGGGGGAAAAAAAAAGAACCTTTACGTGTACAGAGAACAAAAGTATATTTTCAGTTTTACTTTTGTATATAAACCTAAGATGGCCTCAGTGGTAAAAAAAAAAATGAGAAAAAAAACCCACAAAATGGAAAAAAATTCACAAAAATAAGGAGCTTCAGTTCGTTTTTAAGGATGCTGAAGATTTTGCATTTTGTCATGTGAGTTTCTTTCCTTTTTTTTCCCCTAGAGTTTGGACACAAATGGCATTATTTTCTTCACAGGAAAGGAGCTGAACTTGTAAAGTTCAAGCTTGGGAGAGGTTTTTTTTCCCTTTTGGGGTGGAATCTAATTTCTCCTATCCAGTATTTAGTGCAGATTTCACTCTGCTCAAAGCAGAGTGAACTCTACCCAGAGTGTCCCCAGCATCCCCTCCCTGGGCAGGGCAGAGCCTTCCAGGAGTGGGGTAGGTTTTGTAGGAGCTTTGTGTCAGTTCTGGGTCTGTCTCACCCTCTCCTCAGACAATTTTCCCTTCTAAACTCCATGTTTTAATCAAGCATGTTGCAAAGTCATTAGTGCCCCAATTCCTCTTAGGGCCAGACTCAGTAAAACGTGAGGAATCACTTGGCTGTGCCTCTGTGGGACAAGGCAGAGAATTCCTATGGGCTCTAGCCCCAAGTCAGACCATCAACACATTGCACTGGAGGGTTTTGTTTCCAGGAACTTCCTCTGAGATGCTGTTCAAAGAACTTTGAAGACCTTAATCAGCAAAATATTCAGCATGTGCCAGTCTGAAATCTGTGGAGCTGCTTGTGCTTTACCTTAGCCATGCTTAGGAATGGCCTCGTCGATCAAGGCCTTAGCTCCTTCTGCCTGGAGAAAAACTCCTTTTTAGCTGCAGTAGAGCTAATTTTCTGCTTCCAAGTGAACTTGTCAACAACATGCAAGAAGAAAATCCAGCTCCCAACACACTGTTGCATGGTCTGTGCAGCTGAGCATGGTCTTGGCACACTCTGCTGAGTTAACATATCCAGCTGAATATTCAGTGTTCAATGTGTCTCTAGAACCAAAAACCAACCCAATCAGCCTCCCACCTGCAACCCATAGGCTCCCTATCCAGGTCTCTTAGGGTAGTGGCTTTCAGAATTCACTTTTCTCTCTTTGGCCTTGGAATTTGTTTGGTTTTCCATGAGCTTTTTCCCAGTCTGTTGAACTTGGAGCCATAATGACTTCCTGGTTTCTTTTCTCTTTTTGTTTTTCAAGCTGTGCATGACATAGGAGAACTCTTTTTTTAGAGCTGCTGGGTCATTTGGGCTGATCCAAGAGTGAAATGTGTAAATAGCTGGAATGCAGTTTTTCAGGAGATTCTTTAAGAGAAAGGGGGAGGGAAGGAAATGATTCTCTTGTGTGTCCCAAAGTCCATGTCAGAGTAACTATTTCCTCTGGTGTGAAAACTATTTTTATAACTGGTTGAAAGTGCAGGTAACAAATTTATCAGGAAAAAGAGAGTTAAGGAATACTAAAAATTAGCTGATTCTTGTCTGAATTTTTCATGTCCAAAACTCAATTGCAGCTAAGTCGCTTCGAGCATCGACAAGGGCCATTTTTTGCCTATGAAGTTGTCTCAAACAACAAAGTCTTGCATTGATTATTAAAAAAAAAACGGAAAAAAAAAGGAAAAAAAAAAGGAAAAAAAAGGCAAAAAAAAAGAAAAACTCTTTAATCCAAGTAGCATTAGGTATTGCTGTATGATCAGTCGTATGGTTCTTTGAAAGGTTCCCATGATGTGGCATCCAACTGGTTTCTAGTGTTTTTACAGCATCCCTCTGCCACTAAATAGTTGACTTGAATTTTTGCAAACAACTGTTTTGTGTTTATATGTATATGTGTGTGTATATATGTATTTATAGATCCGTGTGTGTGAGTTCCAAGTGAGTTAAATAGTTTTTCCCTCCCCCCCATGCATGTGTATTTCATACATATCTGGCTGATATATATATATATTTCACCATACACCAATTTTATAATTTATTAAATGTCAGTTAAAAAAAAAACAAACAAAAAATAAATAAAAAGGATAGAAAAATGGGAAATACTTATTTTTTAAACAGTCTGATTTTGAAGTGATTAAAACCTCCACTAGGAATATATCTCATACATTTTAGTCATGAATACTAAGCTGGTAACTTCAGAGCATATTTGCTGTGATACCATGTGTAAATCAGGAGTGTGACTGCCACTGGTGTGCCCAGAGCATGTGTGTCCTCAGCTCCTGGAGCACCTGACAGCAATCTGGGACAGCTCCTGGCCATTTTCCCACTGACTGTGTTGGGAAAGATGACCCTGAGGAGCAGCTTCTGTTGCTTGTGACCATGGGATTCAAATCTTGTTCATCACAAATGACAAGTGTGTGGTAACATGGAGTGTGGCATCTTTCTTGCCTCTTTGGAGCAAAGTGAAGTCAGCTGATGATGTCTTCCACTTCCTCACCAGTGACCCTGAAGGGGAGGAAGGCTCTTCAGTTCCCACTGTCACCTCATTGCTCTGCAAAGAAGGGACAGAAATGGCCTTCAAGTCCTCCTTTGTGGTATTAACCTATATGCTTTGTGAGTATTCCTGTTTCATGCTAGGGTGTTCTTTAGAGCTGATAATTCTCTGTGCCTCTGACCACAGTTAACATTGCTTGGTAGAAGTCTCAGTCTGAGTTCTCGAGAGTTCCCTGCACATGTCCCTCCAAAACTCATCTCCTTTGGGTCAAGGACACAGTGAGGCCCCAGGGGTGGCCTGGGTGTGGGCCTGCTCTGCTCCTGGGGGTGGCAGGGCTGGGCACCTTGGACTGGCACTGTCTTGTCCTCAGATTCTTCCAGGAGGGGAGTGAGGTGTGCACACACACACAGACACACACAGACACACACACACAGATCTGTGTCACATAGAGCTGAATGTGTCACACATCTGTGTCACATAGGGCTGTCAGGCACACAGACACATCTGTCATAGAGATGAGTGTGTCACACACATCTGTGTCACAAAGAGATGAGTGTCACGTCACACAGAGCTGAGTGTCACATCTGTATCACAGCTGAGTCAGACATCTGTCACATGGAACTGTCACAGACACACAGGCACACATCTGTGTCACACGGAGCTGAGTGTCATACACATCTGTGTCACAGCTGAGTCACAGACATCTATGTCACGTGGAACTGTCACACAGGCACACACATCTGTGTCACACAGCTGAGTGTCAGACACATCTGTGTCACAGTGAGTGTGTCACACATCTGTGTCACAGAAAGCTGAGTGTCAGACACATCTGTCACATAGAACTGAGTGTGTCACACACACCTGTCACATGGAGCTGTGTGTCAATCATCTGTGTCACATAGAGCTGTGTCACACACGTCTCTCACAGAGTTGAGTGTGTCACACACATCTGTGTCACATAGAGCTGTCACACACACATCTGTGTCACATAGAGCTATGTCACACACGTCTGTCACACAGAACTGAGTGTCACACACATCTGTGTCACATAGACCTGTCACACACACATCTGTGTCACATAGAGCTATGTCACACACGTCTGTCCCACAGAACTGAGTGTCACACACATCTGTGTCACATAGAGCTGTCACACATCTGTGTCACAGAGCTGTGTCAGACACACCTGTGTCACATAGAGCTGACTGTCACAGACACACCCACCTGTGTCACATAGAGCTGAGTGTCACAGACACACACACCCCTGTGTCACATAGAGCTGAGCGTCTCTCTCTCTTTCACACACACACACACACACACACACGTGTGCCCTAGAGCTCTGTGTGTGTCCATGTGAGCCCTGAGCTGCTGCAGAATCAGCTGGAAGTGGCTTTGAGTGGCTCTTGCATCCTTTAGAAGCTGAAACCCCACACTAAACTCTCTTCCTAGCCCTTCCCTAGTGATGGAGCTGCAATTCCAAGCTTGCCCTTCCTCTCCATCAGGATTCCATAAGCCTTTCAAGGACAGGATGGCTGAGAGTTTTTCCTTGGACTCATGGATTGCCTCCCAGCACAGAGCTAAGGACTGTGAGGAGAACCTTTGGAAAACTGAATTCTTTGTTGCAGTTGAACATTTCAGGGTTTTGAGCACATTTGAACTAGAGAAGATTTTGGTTTCTCAGTGTAAAACTTCCTTTTCTTTCTTTTTTTAACAGAACTTAGATTTCTAACAAGGGAAAATTGCTGGTGGTCCCCGAAAGTGCTGCTGTTAATTGTTATAATTAACAAAGGGAAAACAAATTGTATATATATATAAGCAGAATATTAAAATGACCATGAATTCCATGAATTGAAACCTGTCATTCATTGCCTTAAAAACTTTTCTCTTAGTTTCCATACAGCATGCCAAACCACTCAATGGCTTTTAAAGATGTATAGTAGACCAATGTCAGTTTGTATAAAAAGTACCAAGTGAAAAATATTTATTATATGCATTGGAAAACAAAACAAAACAAAACAAATGGTTTTACCTATTGAATGTTACCTGTTTCTGTAGAAATCTTTAGATGTAATAAAAAGCATTCAGTTATGTTGTGTTTCCCGACTGGATCAGTGGCTCAGGACATCTCCAGGAGGGTCAACAAGGCTCAGTGCTGGTCCTACCCTTGGGGCACAACAGCCCCATGCAAGTTCAGGCTGGGGGAGGAGTGGCTGAGGGAGCTAAATCCAGTTGGGGCTG